TCTCTCTCTCTCTCTCTCTCTCTCTCTCTCTCTCTCTCTCTCTCTCTCTCAATTTATATATATGAGTAATGATTTTTAAGTACAGTGCTGCTAAGCACCATACTTAGGTAGCAAACAAATATCCACCTAAACCGATGTTTAGCATATTCTAAGCATGGTGCCTAGGATATGCTAAGCACCATGCTTAGGTGGCAAACAAACTACTCACTAATGTAGTGTGCCACCTAAGCACGGTGCTCAGCATAAACTGAGTACGGTGCTTAATATATATATATAAGAACTACGAAAATTTCAAAAGCGACCATCTATAGGATTGTTCACTAATGTAGGCATTAGATTTAACTGCCATTTCACACACATAATGATATAATTACTGTTAAAGCTCTATTTCTAATTGGATTGTTCAATTTAATGGAAATGGTTTGAATAGCTATTTACGGCATGGGGATCTATTTTACTATTTAGGATATGATTGGGCTTAGATCTTAATGGCATATTATCTTCATTTGAACTTTTTTCATTTCACAAATACTTCTCTTTTCATGGACCATTTGTGTCCATCGAATAGTGGCAAACATAGGTAATTGCACTATGATGCCTTGGGCCAACCCCATACCTTTCTTTTCCTACTTTCAAAACAACTCTTATTGTGTTTGTGAAGAAGCTATTCGAAGCGGCCACGATATGCAAACGATGCATATTTATTGTTCCTTCAGGTTTTCGTCCATTTTGAAAAGTTCGTCATTGCTTCCTCCCGTTAGAGTCTGAGCTATGCCTTAGTGTGGTTGATCATCCTCCCAATCGGAATCATTCAATACAATGAAATGAATACGTTGTTTTCCATATATACGATGACTTGCTCAACTATTTTCTAATCTTAACGTATACAATATCGCAACATTGAGTCTATGAAACACGAAGCGATAATTTTCAAGTAACATTCTATTTGACTTCTCAATTATATACATCTCCTTTATTACAAAAAAACTTTTATAAAATTCATTTTTTAATATAATATTCAATAATTGTACATTTTTATGATTGCCAAGCCTTGAAATATGACACAAAGCATAGATGTTAAATTCAACAAGAATCCAATATTATTCCTGAATTTTCCATTCCGTTTTCTTTGGGAGTCAAAATGCTATCAATTTCCGCCCGTCACGTTGGTTTGTCGACATTTTGGTTAGATCTATTTCCTTATAGTTGGCAACTAGACAATAAAAATAAAAAACTTCTTCCCACGTTCGTATAAATATTAAATAATCACATACAAAGTATTTATTCCAATTTTTGTAACGCAAATTTATTCCGAAAATTCATTACTGAAAAAACCTATCATATCAAAAATAACATTAGAGCATTTTACCTTAAAAATAAAAGTAACAAAGATTATGTAATAACTATAAGTACCATATCATATAAGAGCATTATGGTCAATTTAAAAATAAATGAATTGTTCGTTGTAGAATATTATTCTCGACAGACTTAAACCTAAACTCAAACAAGATAATTTTCTTCCCTTCCACCAAAGTAAATTTATGTTAGATTAAGTAAGAAAAATACGTGTTCGATCCGAATTCTCTCCCATTTGTTTATCATAGACCGAATGGATATTTTCATTTTCTTTCCAAAATTTTTCCTATTTTCTAGTATTTTGCGTGTCACGACAATTAAAAATTAAAAATCTATATCGATGAAAGGTCTAACCAGTGAAAGGAAGGCATCCATTAATGTTAGTCAAATCGGTCTATGAAATTAAGGTTAAAAAATAGAGGAATTCAGACCCTCGGTAAACAAAAAGTGAGATTTCAATTAAATCATTAAACATGAATTTCTCTCAATCATTTATAATAATCAATAATATAATTTTACAGTCAATCATCAACAATAAAGATCATTCAATATTTACTCGTCACATAGTGTTCACATGCCTAACTTTATAACGTTGAGTGTCACGCACCGATAGTGCTCCTCTTCTCACATGGCACAGAAAGGTCACCAACAGTTAAGCGTATGGACTATATTGCCAAATAATGCACCAGTGGTATCATCATATGCAAGTATTGTATAGCATCATTTCCATGTGAGCATGTGCTAATTGTTTAGGGCTTGTGGGCCTAAGAATAAGGAAAATGTTACCTTGAGATGAGAATCTTGCGGGCCAAACTTGCAGTATGTGAAAACCACTTGAACATGCTTTATTGATTGTGGGAGATCACCAACAAGCGTTCTTGCGAAAAAAAATTGGACCACGGACCAAGTCGTCAAGCAAGCAGATTGATGAAGAAAGCTTTGGGAATGATCGATGATAAAAAAACAACGTTGTGCGAATAAGCTTATGTGCCTTGTAGCACACGTTAGAAATCACAATGAAGATTGTGTTGGTGCTTCGACATGAGGTTGTCCATTCAAGGAACTACCGCTTTAGGGGCATATAGTGAAGGTTAGTGTTCGGGCGGCACGTACAAAGTTATTACGGGCATGTGTGATGTAGCATTGTTTGGATGCATGTCCATGAAAGGATTGTGTCGTAATTCTTTTTGTAATGAGAGGAACTCGCATTGATGTGAAGCTCACTTATTGCTACTAGAGTATTTAGCGAATTGAACGGGGGAGAACATTAAGAACCGAAAGTGCTTCTCTCCCCATACAACATGGGCAATGTCGCCAACAATTAGGTGTTTGAACTATATTATCAAATAGGCACTAACAATGTCATCTAAGATCATATCTATAAGAATTTGTCTTCTTGTACATAATTTTTTCATCATAATGGTGTCCATACACATACAAGTGGTGGGACGTACTTGAATATTTTATTTGAATGGATCCCACCACTTGGGTGTGTATAGACACCATTATGGTGAAAAAATTATGTACACTAAGTATGACTCTATCTATAATCGTGCATGTTTGCTAATTGTTTTAGATTTGTCGGTCTAAGAATGAAGAGCAAACGACTTGAGACGAGGATCGTTGATGGCCATACTTTCTGTCCGTAAAACTTCTGTTAGTACTCAAAAAAGTTTGAAACAAAACATATGACAATTTGACGATGTTCATGGCAGAGTATTGACTATTTTAAAGCCATCAAGTTTTAAATTCAAGAAACAATATTCTATGCACGACACATGATCTGTACTGTCATCATCATCATTCAACGTGCCAATCACAACGGTCACTAAAAATTTCCCAACGTTCAAATTCCCCAGATCAACCCCAACCTTAAAGCAACAACAACACGCGTACGGTTTCTGATCTATTCGTATCGATCAAAGTTCATCCAACGGCTAAATCCGTTTCCTTTTCTTAGTCGTCTAACTTTCTCTGTTGCTGAGTTGTCCATCGATGATTAGCAACAATTTAAACCTAAAGTAATTTAATTTTAATTAATAAAAGTTATTAATTTGTTTCTCTCTCATCAGAGCTCTCTCTCTATATCTGTGTGTATATAAATAGTCTCCTTCTCCAGTTATCTTTCAGTACTTGAGCCCTCTCTCTACAATTAGCATTTCTAAAGTTATATACAGTTCTATCTTTTTTTTGCTAAGTTTCAACTATTCAGGGAGAAAATGGCTTACTCTAGATCAATGGTGGCTTTGGTTTTCGCATTGTTGGCTGCATCGGCTTTAGCTCAGGCTCCAGCCGCCACCCCAAAGGCGTCTCCAAAAGCGGCTCCGGTTGCTTCTCCACCGAAGGCGGCTGCTACACCAACTCCGTCACCATCCGCGGCCGTCAATCCACCTACAAGTTCATCACCTTCTGAATCTCCATTGCCTTCTCCACCTGCTCCTCCCACTTCTCCTACCGGTGCACCTGCCGGATCTATCGCTAATCCTCCATCCATCGCTGCCGCACCCGGTGGCGGTGCCCCTAACGCATCACCAAACGGCGCTACTTTGAACAGAGTACCGATCGCTGGATCTGCTGCAACAGTGTTGTTCTTTGCTTCTCTTCTGCTGTAGATCTACATCTACTGATCTAGTTTTACTTTGCCGGTTTTCCTGTTATTGTTTGATTATTTATTTTTACTTTTTGTGTACTCTATTGTTTAAAGATTCTTTGTTATTTTAAATCCCTTGGCTTGCAGAGAGAGCTGTGTTATATTTTTCATGCTTAAAATAAATTGCTTGAAGGTATAATTGTCTTTTTCTTTAAATTTTTTTACAAAAAATTGCAATAAGGTTCCAAATTTGAGACAATTTCAAATCAACTATACGACGAACATTTCAATAAACGTGCGAAGGATAGAAGAACCTCTGAAAGGTTTCCTTCTAGAAGCTAGCTCGTTAGTACAAAATATCACATTCGGCCCTTGTCTATTGAAAAGAGTTTTTTTTAGGAAAAATGAGTTGAAATAGTGATTCTTTGAGAAATGCTTAGGTTAAAATGTATGAAATTTTTTTTAGGATGAAAGTTCTTTTTCTAAAACGATAGACAAACTGGGTTTTAATGATTAAAACAAGAACAAATTAAAATTAAAACCAGAAAATAAAAAAGAAAAAACACTCACTCATCAGTTGTTTTTGCCTAAATATAAAATAGGAGAAAATCTCTCGTTCCCTTGTTTTGTTGGGATTAAAATCGGATTCGTTATAAATTTTAATAAAAGTTAATGAGATTTGTGATTAAAAAGTTGTTTTTTAGAAATTTTGAACTAAGTTGACGATCAATGATGCAATATATTGAATTAATGATATTGTGATGCTAAGTAGCGTGAATGGCGGAGAAACATGGTGTGACAGCTGTTTTGGAATTCCATGTTGGGATTCCCATGTGCTCCACTGTCGCACCGGAAAAGCTGCTATGCTCCAAAATAAAAATAAAATATGATTTGAGTTTTCATATAGCCAAGCTGGTCCCTCTATTTTAAGAGTAACGTCAAATCTTGCACGAATGTTCTCAACACCGCTGTGTAGCAAAACGTCGGATTCCATTGCCTACAAGCCCCCGTCGTGTTTTACAAGGACTTTAGATGTCATCATCCCATTTTTGCATGGGTCGCGTTGTAGTTGGATTAATATACAATTATTATGACCCTGTTTAGTACAGATCAAAATTAAAATTTTTGAGTTAATTCAAAGTCAAAAATTAATTTTAATCAAATATTGGATGGAATTCATAACTTTCACAACTTTTTAATTACATTTCATCAATTTTTATTAAAATATATTAAAAATCTGAATTTAATCATCACCAAATAGAGGAGTTATATCGATGTTAACAAAATAATTGTAGGATTTAACATTAATCTCATCATCAGAGTAATGATATATTGGTATCATTAAGAAACTGATTTAAAACAAAATAAACTTTACAGTAATGCAAGTAGGTGTTTTCTCTTAAATGCCAAATTCTCACAATAACGACATGTTTTACTGAACTTAGAATTAAGACAAACTTACTCTAGTGTAGATTTTCTTTTCAAGTATGCATAAATATTAATTTTTTTCTTATTTTTGTAAAAGGAAATAGTCTACTTTGACAATAAAGAAAAGAGTGTAATTATATGAATAATGCTATTAATAGTGAAAACTATTGACAATCTTTTTACGTAGCATACACACGACTCTAATTATATTGCCACTACAAATTTTGTTTGTTACACCACAATTATATAAAAAATTTCTATTCTATGTCGACCCTGTAGATGCCCAAACAAGATATCTTACTGATTTGCCCATATTGAAGTCTGACACTACTCATCTCGGCTCATCAATATCGGCTCATCAATATGGCATAATGCCATTTTTATTCTTAACACATGCAACTTCATGCCTTCAACTCGTCCAAATGAACCCTTCGAAAATTCATTAAATTACGACATATCTATTGCTCAACCATCACAGTTTGTTCAACAACTTATTGATCATCAGATAGTATATGCATGTGATGTAGCCAGTTGCTTTTGTTGAAAATTACCTTTCTGTCGAAAAGAACAAAGAAACAAACGTCCAAAGAACGAAGAAAAAAGGAAAAGAGTTTTCTTGATCATGTTTTCATGGATGAGTACACTAAGTATTTTTATTTTTAGTTTTTACTGCATTAATAGTATAATTGTAAATTTGTTGTGGTGTATTTATTGAAAATATATTTTAATTGTGGTACGATTATAATATGGTGTAGTAATTAAACTTGTTAGTGGTAATATAATTACCCTAAAACATTTTAATTCTTAATTAAGTAGAGACAAAATTGCCTCTATTTAATTTAGCTAAATATTAGATTTCTATAAAAGTTGATGAAATGTATGATTAGAAGTTAATAAAAATTATGAGTCCTATGAAATATTTGGTTAAAAATGAGTTTGAGAAAAATGATAGTCAAACAACACCACCCCTTGAACTTATTACAACATTGAAACACCCCCTAACGTTAAACAAATCACACAAATCTTTTTTTTTTTTTTTTTTTTTCAGTATCACATATACCTCCTGTTTCGAGCGGGTTTATCGAGCCTCGCTAACAAATTAAAGGATGATTAAGATGATTGTGTAAGGAATAAACATTTTGAGACAAAGTCCCAACGAGATGTGCTTTATTTACGAAAATTACAATGAAAAACGAAATAGAACGCCTCCAAGGAGCACAAGCACACAAAGTAATTTGAAAGTTGACGATAAGAATTAAAAAAAGTAAAATTACATATTTTATATTTGAGAGTGATTGATTCGGGATCTGTCTTCTATGTTGTCTTCCTTCTTTTATACTCCTTTGCCGATTTTCTTTGTAAAACCGCTTTGGAAACTGCTGGTCGTTGCTCTATAACTATCCACTTTCTCCATCATGGGTGGTTTACCCTTTTTAACCGATGCCGTTACCCTATCTCTTAACTTCTTGCAACCAAAATTCTTGGATCGTGGAATGTGATAAACTTTCTCAATGCTACTTCGATGACCACCGCTTTAAATAAATGCAATAGACCATGTTCGCTTAGATATTGGGCGTCTCGAAGGCTTGGGCGAGAATAGGACCTATCGCTCTGAGCGACAATGAGATACTCCATTCGCTCAGCTTCTGGGCGTTCTATAAGCTCGGGAGATAATAATCCTTTATTTATGGGTCTCCACTATGTTTCACAATGGTCTCATTTGGGCCATACCGCAACTTCCCCAACTGGGCTCCATCCTTTTGACTGTTTAATTGGGCCTCATTTTTGTATATCATCAATTACCTCCTAATATGGTAAAATTAATATCAAATATTAATCTTATGCCATATTGTTCTTTTGTATTTTCTGACAATGCTTGAATTCTTTGAAATGGGCGGATAATCCCAATTATTTTTTCCGTTTGGTGTTAATCCTCTACATCTCTAAAAGCGTAACACCACGTAACCCCTATAAACCAAGGGACAAGTTATTTCATCTCGCTATCACACCCACGTCTTCGCGCCTCTTCCTCTATAGCAATCACCGTTCATCTTCTTACTTCTCTTCCATGCTTTTCACAATCCCTTATGAAAATTGTACTTTACAGTCAATGGTGACTCCACAAAGCCCTTCTGACAGCTCCCTTAGCTTCGAAGATTTTTAAAACCTCCTCACCAGGCCGTATATCAATTCAGTGTATATCAATTCAGCTTTTCTTTCATCAGCCAACCCTGACCTTCAGGAGTTCTACTTAGGCCCATTATTTAAAGATGCTGAATCGGTTATGCAGGTGGCAGTTGGTCAACTATTTCCCTGTACGCATGACCCTCATTTTCTGAACTCACTACCGTTACAGCCAATCCGCGAGAAAGGTATTCGCACTTGGCCTAAAACTTATACTACCTTTCGTAAGTGGCATACACGTATGGTAAATCATGGCCCCACTAAGGCAATTTTTGACCGTGCTAGGATTTCGAATTTATTGGAAATCACTCTTTGTCCCCCAATTTATGATCTGGTGCTTTTTCCAATTGCACTAAGTTTTTGGTCGTCTGAGTACAGTATTTTTGTTTTCCCCGGCCTAATATCTATTACTCTGAAGGACGTTTGGGCCCTAGTGAACCTTCTGCCCTTGGGCGATACCATTTTCCCTAGCATTTTGGTTACCAGCATTACCCCAAAACTTGACAAAAAACTTACTGAGTCCTATTCGGGCATGCAAGGGCTTTATAATCATTCTAGCACTGAACCTTCCCATACTGAGTGTATAGCCTTTCTTCAAGTTTGGCTTTGTAAATACATTATTTGTGTGCCCAGCATGAAACCTTATGTGAGTTATCTACCCATAGCGCACGAATTAGCGCATGGTAGACCTTTGAATCTGTGTTCATTCTTTTTAGCCACCTTTTATAGAGGCATGGCTTTCCTCCAATTTCAATTAAGGAATGGTACGTTTCCCACGGCAGTGGGCCTGTTTGACTCGCTTAATTGTAGTTGAGAGCATACTTTCCCCAGCTTGGTTCTCCACCATCTCCTCCTCGATCGGTCAGTTGTTATGGGCTATTCATCCATCAATTGAACCCTGTTAATATGTCCAATATGGACGTTTTCACATTCTTTTACAATTTGAACTCGACCCCTTCATTTTTTCCTTTTTCGGCTCATCAAATTCCTATTTATGTGCGACCTCCTTCCACCATGAATGAAGTGAGCACTTTTTATCCATTTGAGTCCAATTTTTGGTTGGGAGAGAACTGTTCCATGACATCTTAACCGGAACAAATGCCAAAGTCGGGGTTGAGATATATGCACCTCAATTTTTTACTTCTCAGCTCGGTTTTAGCCAAACGTGGCTGGTTCCTCCTTACTTTTCCAAAATTTTGATAGACTGTTTTCATACTATTAATAAAACAGAGGCACAAGCCGTTGATTCCCGTAATAATATTTTGTCAAACAGTTTCTCATTAGCCCCTTTCAACTCTACTTCTGTCACTCATCCCCTTTTTGACTACTATGGCCGTCTATGAAACGCAGGCTATTCGCAACTGATGCTAATCGTGCCTTTCACCTATTAGAATGGCCATCAACTTCTTC